CACACTTCGTTCTCTCTTCGTCCCTTTCAAATACCAGAACCTTAGTTTTATTAGCGTTCAAACGGAGACCTTTAATTTCACATTCCTCTTTCATACACGTGACTAATGCCTGCAGTTCTGCCTCTGATGGTGCAATAAGCACTGCATCATCAGCATACAGCAGACAATTTACTTTAATGTCACCCAATTTCACACCCAAACAACTATCTTTCAGCTTCTGTAAACAGCTGTCGAGATACAGTATGAACAGCCAGGAAGACATGACACAACCCTGCTTTACGCCCGTTTGGACGTTAAACATGGGTGACAGGTCATGCCCTACCCGCACACAGGCTTTACAGTCACAGTAAAGAGACTGCACAGCCCTTAGCAATCGACCATTCACACCATACCCCGGCAACAGTTCCCACATTTTCTTCCTTACAACCTTATCAAATGCTTTCTCAAGATCCACAAAAGCACAGAAAATCTTCTGGTTAGCAGCCAGAAGCTTCTCCGTGATCATGCGGAGAAAAAACATTTGATCCGTGCATCCTCTTCCAGGTCTAAATCCGCATTGTGCCTCCCATAGAAATCTTTCCGATTTCTCTTGCATCCTACGTGTCAAAACCTTCGAGTAAACTTTACTTGCTAAACTGGTCAAGCTGATCGCCCGATAGCACCCGCAGTCAAAATGTGAACCTTTACCTTTATATAAAAGCACAATGACTGCGGATCGCCAATCATCCGGGACATCCCCCGTCCGCCAGCACAAATTGCACAACAGATGAAAGCTGTCCCAGACGCGAGGCCCACCATACTTGACCATTTCAGCAGTAACTCTGTCTAGTCCCGCAGCCTTACCACATTTCAAACTTCGAATCGCACGTTCAATCTCTTTCATACTGATGACCTCAGTGTCATCGAGGTCCGGGTCTGGCGTACCAGTCACGGCGTCATCCCCGGATCCCTCACTAAGATCATCACACGCATACATTTCTCTATAAAATTCGCTCCATCGCTGCATGACGTCCGATTTTTATGAGAGGACGTCATTAGTTCTCGAAAGCACTTTGTTCATTCTTAAGGCCGTCGCACCACTTCGGGTCCTTCCAACCTCTTTCCAGAAGAGTTTGGAGTTCTCCTTAAAGTTGTGCGACAACCTTTCGTCCGCTTCCATTCTACACCTTTCACGCACTTCCTCAATCAATGCTTTCGTGTGAACTTTCTGCAGCTTATATCTTTCTTTCATCTTCTCTATCATATCCTTATCATTACTAGAGGCCAAGTAGTCTAACCATGCTTTCTTCTTCTTCTTTACAGCTTCTTTCACTTCATCATTCCACCATGCATCTCTTCTTTTACTACTGCCTCTTTTTATTGTTCCACACACTTCTTCCGCTGCACTTACCATTCCATCCCTAAGGTTCTGCCATGTTCTTTCTACACATTCTTTTCTGCCAACGATGGTGTCAAGCTTTTCGGCTACCCTCGCATGATATTTGTTCCTAGTATCCGCCTCCTGAAGCTTCCAGCTTCGGATGCGACAGACCGACTGTGGTTCTGTTACTGTCGTCCGGTAGTGCCAACCCGCGAACAGACCCCTAAATCTAGTAATCACTAGATAGTGATCCGTTCCCAGGTCAGCACCCCTGAACACTCGCGTATCCATCACCTGTTTTCGCAGTCGGTCATCCACCAGGAACAAATCGATCATACTTCTCTCATTCTTTCGTTCTCTAGTATACATATGGATTTTCTTGTGATTAAACATAGTGTTTGTCACAAGAAGATCCTTTTCCTTGCACACCGCCAGTATAAGCTTGCCAGCATCATTAACCCTTTTATCGCCAAACTTTCCAAGTACCGACTCGTACCCTGGTCGAGCGGTACCAACCCATCCATTCAAATCACCACATACAACAATTCTTTCGTTTCCCCTAGCCAAATTTAGAACTTCTCTTACATTCTCCCAAAACTCCTCCAGCTCAGCCCTGGACGACGAAGCTACCGGCGCATAAACAGCCAAAAGGAATAACTTCGTCAGTCCTAATTTAAAGCGAACCCAGAGAAGTCTTGAGTTCACAACCTTATATTCAGTCATAACATCGACCAACCGAGAAGACAGCAGCACCCCCACTCCCTGGCAGGCGTTCTCGCTCTCCGGGACTCCGGACCATAGAGCTAACACCCCGCCAGGGAGTTCTTCAGTACCACTACCCTTCCGTTTGGTCTCCGACATACACACGACATCTAATTCTCTTTCTTTCATTATTTCAATCAACTCATTCATCTTATCTCTCATGCCTCCTCTAACATTCCACGTGCCAACTCTGCACTCTGTCCTCCACCTTCCGCCGTGTCGGGCTGTGCGTGACGGGTGGCGGTCCCCATCGCCGCTTTGCACGCTGCATTCCACACCAACGGGGACGAGCTGGTGTGCGTCGCCTTGGGGGGACGCCCTAACCTTCGTTGGCATGGGTGCGCAGCTAGTAGAATATGGGTCTGGGTCATTGTAGAAGCGTGCTCGTCGCGACCCCTGCCAGCCCTTTTCAGGGCTGCAATTCTACTAGCTGCGCCGTCCATGAACAAGTGCAAAAATAGGAATTGCAGGTGCGAAAAAAGATCCTACTCCTATGCCTACGGGTTTTGAAGGAAGGTTTAGAATCTAATTTTGGTAAATAGCTCCACCAGTATCACTTTATATATATATTAATTAGATTAATTCCTTCATCTGATCAATGTCCACTCCCGTTGCAACATATTGCATGATGGAATTTTTCTTAAAAGTCCCTAAGCCGTATTGGTCCGGAAAAATCGCTGGTGATCAGAAATAATATCCTGTGTTATTAGAAAATGTAGAAGAGTAGTACGGGGTAAGTTGAATGAATTAAGAGACAAAAACACTACAAAAATTCTACTTTTAATCACATTGCTTTAGATTTTTTTTTCAAATTATATTACTGTGAGTACTTTGTGTTGCAATCTTACTAGGTAAAAATGATGATTTGTCAGATCGCTGAGCTGTAGATAGATAGACGCCAGCAAAATTAAACAGAATAATTTAGTATTTTCTTAAGAAATTCAGACAGTAACATTCAGCATTAAATTTTAAGCTTTAGTTATTTCTTTGACTACAAATCAAGTTCGTGTTAAGCAAGTTTTCACTTTAACTACTATAATTATTTTTTATTTCTTTTTTTTTATTAAAAATGTTACCCGTACAATATTTTTTTCTGTATCGTGAAGCATTACATAGGTACGTACACAAATTACAGCCGGTCAGAAAACAATAATTATTAAGCCATCCAATTACATGTTTCCTAAGAGGATCTATCCGAATAGGGATTATAATAAGGGAATATAAGCGGAAGTATTCCGCAAAATAAAAAAATAGTTCCGGCTGCTCTAATTAATATTAATTCTTCCAAGATACATCAAAAATAACTAATTCTAGTATAACGTAACGCAATAGATCACGCCATATAATAAATTATAAGAAATGGCCTACAATTAACCTTTATAAACAGCCTGTAGAAAGATTCATTCATCCATTCATTGATCTGTGGTAGCTCAGGGGCTAAGTGCTAGCTGTACATTTGACAATACGCGAGCACCCCGGGTTCGATCCAGCCGTCACTTATGAAATTTTCTGCAACTAAAAATTTAAATGCCAATTTACGATGTTTTTGGCTGTCAAGGAAAACATCGTGAGGCAAACTGCATATCTAAATATTAAAAATATATATTTCGAAGACATGTCCTAGTGTCCAGTGGGGAGCATATAGGCCGTAACCTGTACCTATTTTAACCTAATTTATTCAAGCCTATCAAAAGTCCAATATGAACATAGGCCACACTCTCACAGGGGAAATATTTTACATGTTCGGTACCGTAATTTTTTGTTATTTTTCAGTTGTCCAACATGGCAAAGTTAAGTAGTAGTAGTAGTATGGAACACACATTTATACCTACGAGCTTATATATATCAAACGCTTAATATTTCAAAAGGGAAACGTTTTAAACAATATTTCGACAAAGGCAAGCTAACAAAGTTGAACGCTGCTCCAAGCTATTTGTCTTAGACATGAAAAGCTACCAGGTACGCCATCTGTTAAATCTTGCTCCTGTTACAATTAGTCCACACAGTCCACACATTAGTGAAGATGTGAAAATTTGTAAGAATTTTAAGAATCTTGTATTAATTTTTTTTAATAGCTTTTCTTTCATTTTTATTTCTTTAATTATTATTGACATATCGTCACGCCTGTAACTCACTGTACAGCGTCAGTGTACGTTAAATTACCACTACCTCATATTGTCCTGTGGGTGTCGTAAAAGGCAACAGAGGGACTTAAGGTATATTACAATCTTAATCAAACCATGTAATGGCGATGTAATAATAATAATAATAATTCTTTATTATAAAAAATATAACACAAAAATTTTATGAAGTCTGACTCCTAAACTAGACGAGTCTGTATCTTAGGAATCAGCGGCCTCTCCCAGAATTGTAACACAGGTAAGAGCACTATGCATATTTTCATTGTTATAGTAGAAACAAAAGAAAAGTAAACAATTTCAAATTTACAAAATGAAATCAAAAAAATAATAAAAATTATAATATAATAAAGTATTGTTACGAGCTTGGGGTTCGAGATAATTAAAAACTGCCGAGTGAATTACCAAAATTGACACTTTAATTACACAACACTAATTACAACTTAAAATCACACTAATAATAAAACACAGTTCGCCGTTATGTCGCTTCGCAGTATTCTCTTGTATCGCCAATTCAATACTGCCTCGGTCGTGGTCTATACCGGCCTTATATAGGGCCTCAGATAGTTTCCACAATCTTCTACTGTAGCGACATCTAGAATGTTCCAGTATATATCGGTCCCGAAATTTCTGGAAGTATCTTGACTCTCCTTGTTCTGCTACTCGACACTAGAGGGCGCTAGTGTAACTAGTGTTGCCATGTACAAGACATTAATAGTGGCGCGCAACACTGCCCCCTCCTAAGACATGCTCGTCCCGAGCATTATTGGTCCCATAATAACTCGCCAGTCTATCCACATGGACGATCTAGGAGTACCTCTGGCACCTTTCTGTATCCGGTAGGTTACGTCATTGATCCTTGTCACAATCCGGTACGGTCCATCCCATTTAGCTTGAAGCTTAGGAGATTTTCCTTTGCTCCGAGCTGGATTGTGTAACCACACTAGAGAACCTTCGTCAAACCCTTTGTTGTTCATTTTGCGGTCATACCGTGTTTTCATCTTCTCGAACGTTTGCTGGCCCGACTGTCTGACGTGCTCATAAATGTCATTCATTTTGTTCCGCAAGTCATTTGCATAATCGGTTATACTGCGTGGGGCATCAGGTGGTAATCCGGTGATCAGGTCTGCAGGCAGCCGTAATTCTCTCCCAAAGTTTGCGAACGCTGGCGTCACTGATGTACTTTCGTGAACAGCGCTTCGATATGACAACAAAAATGGTTGTATGTGCCTGTCCCAGTCTCGTTGCCGTTTTTCCACAACTTTTGCCAGGTACCTTTGCAATTCTTGTCCTGTGTTTATCTTGTGTTGAACTAAGCCAGTCTTTCCTATGTCAGATTCGTTTGACGAGAAAACATTGGCGTACTTGAGTAACAACTTCTTCGCCTTGACCATTTCATTCGGGGAGAGAACGCTGCGACAGTCTTCTAAAAGTGTGGTCACTCTCGTTTGTCCATCCTTGCTGAGGGTCCCAGTCGATAGATATTGGCACCGACGCAACCAATCCACTTCCTCACTAGTACCAACCAATGTGCCTTTTTCTATAATCTGTTCCTGATCACAAAGGTTCAGGACACGTACTCCTGAGATGTCGGCGGTTCTGACCAAGGTTGAGCCACTACCCATGGAAGGTCGTTGTCTACCCTTTCCACGAGTACACAACGAAGAGTTTGCCCAGAATTCCGAGGAAGTCTAACCGGCACAATCGTTTCCGATCTCGTCGGAAGAACAATCTTCTTAAGGCTGTACACATTCCCTCGTAACGCCCCTTCCACGAAAAGTTCCTCTTGTCCACATTTCAAAACACCTTGCTTAACGTCGATCTCACAACAATTATTCCTCATAAAGTCTAGGACCAGGATGCAGTCGTCCATTATATCAGCCACGATGACATTATGCAGGTAGATCATGTTGCCTAGCTTCAACTCCATCTCCTTCTCCCCACGGACGTGTATGCGCTGACCAGTGGCTGTCACCAAATTAATGCGTTTTCGGTTGTATGCGGAGTCCCCAAGGAGCCGACTTATAAGTTGAGAACTGACAACCGTGCGAGAGGCTCCAGTGTCTATGGTCAGTTTACACGGCGTTCCGTTGACTTCACCCTTGATGATTAGACTATTCCCATTATGGGTTTGTGAGATCGAAATCCTTGGGTCTCTTTTAACATCAGCCAGCACCCGCCCCGCAGTCCTGGCTTTTACTCGTTTCCCTGCTGCTGCTGGGCGGTGCTATTAGCCGCACTACCCTCTCGAGATCGATTACCTTCCCTTTCTTCAGTTCGCTTGGGCAGCTGGATCGAAGATGGCCTTTTTCCCCACTGCCGTAGCACCTAGGGCTGTAGTTTTTATTGCGGTCCTGAACTGTAGCTGCTGCAACCTCCATGACGCGGTGGGAACGACGATCCTGCTGCACGGCTTCCATCTCCAGTGCATGGATCAAGGCGTCCTTAAGCGTCTCGTGGTGCCCGAGCCTCACAGCAGCTCTGACTTCAAGATCGCGGATGCCGTCGATGAATGTCTGCACCAGGTTCCCTACAATGAGCGCAGGTACAGACTGGTACGCTTTTCGAACCAGCTTCTCCACCTCAAGGGCCCACTGCTGCAGGTTTTCGTTACTGCGTTGCACGCGATCTTTGAGCTGCGCACGAAAGACGTGTTCCAGGTGAGCGTCGCCATATCTCGCCTCCAATGCCTCAAGGAGCTGCTCCTAAGTCACTTCCTTACCGAGAGCTTCCAGAACAGTTAAGGCCTGGTCGCGCAGACCTAGGGTGAGAGCCGTCATGGCCTGACTTTTATTCCAGCCGTTCGCTTTCATGACAGCCTCGAACTGGATTTTGTAGGCCGACCAGGAAGAAGTCCCGTCGAACGGTGGCACTTTAAATCCATGTAGCGAAGGTGTTGTAGCTACCACGGGAGCTGTAACTCCATCCCCAATTTTGAGGTCGTTCAGCGTTTTCTTCACGTCAGCCATCACGTTGTCAATCCGATTGTACACTTGATCGATTCGTTTTTCAGCTTCCGACAGGCGGTTGTCATATTGAGCAACCTTATCCTTCACCTCACTTATTTCTTTCCCGAAGGTAGCGTGAAGGTCCTTCATAAGAAGTATCTGCTCTTCCTTATCGCGTTTGAGCTGCTCTTCCAACCGACGGCCCTGTTCCTCCTGTTGGCGGGCCTGTTCCTCCTGTCCGCGCTGCAGCTGCTCTTCCAACCGACAAGCCTGTTCCTCCTGTCGGCGGGCCTGTTCCTCCTGTCGGCGGGCCTGTTCCTCCTGTCGGTGAGCCTGTTCCTGCAGCATCATCATCAGAACACCAAAGTCAGGTGCTGCAGATGCAGGAGCTGCTGACGGGCCGGCCTCCGTGGTCGGCAACTGGCCCGCCGACGTCTGTGACGTTGCACCACCAAATCGTCTCTGGTCCGTCTCCTGTTGGCGTTGACTTCGGGTACGGATACCCTCGGTGTCGTCTTTAGGTAAAATCGGCATATTTGATCCCACTTCTGACTTCTGACACCAATTTTTACGGGCTTGGGGTTCGAGACAATTAAAAACTGCCGGTTGAATTACCAAAATTGACCCTTTAATTACACAACACTAATTACAACTTAAAATCACACTAATAATAAAACACAGTTCACCGATATTTCGCTTCGAAGTATTCTCTTGTATCGCCAATTCAATACTGCCTCGGTCGTGGTCTATACCGGCCTTATATAGGGCCTCAGATAGTTTCCAGAATCTTCTACTGTAGCGACATCTAGAATGTTCGAGTATATATCGGTCCCGAAATTTCTGGAAGGATCTTGACTCTCCTAGTGCTGCTACTCGACACTAGAGGGCGCTAATGTAAATAGTGTTGCCATGTACAAGACATTAATAGTGGCGCGCAACAGTATTCTATATGTGTTTGATTTAATACTAAACATCCATACTATACATATATTTAATATACATATACACAACATGAGCACACATATATATATGTCGGAGCGTCTATAAAATACCCGGTTGGATCGAGGTAGAATGGAGGGTATATCGAGAAACCCCCTCTTGTGTCTGTAGTATAAAGTTCACTGTAGGTGCCGTGCGCGAGAGTTCGCTCAAGTCATTCAACGAGTGCGGTCATTCTACTAGTGCTAAGATAGTGTCGTGGATTTATTCGTTGTTGTAATTCTTCTAGTGCAGGCAAGGAGGATTAGTGTTGCTGAGAGTTGAGATAAGTAGTGTTGCTGTTGGTTTACATATTTTGGTTTTATCATGTAATTACGTACCTCACGTTACACTGGTGTGTGATTGTGGCAGAGACGTGTTACGGTGTGGTCGAACTGTAATTTCACTATACTGAATGTATAGTGCGTTACGTTGTCTTATTACTGAAAATGATTAAACTGCGTAAGCAAGAGAGCAAGTTGGACATCCGCTCTCACACTTTTATTATTTTTAACAGTTAACGCTATCCTGATGTATTTCCAAGATCACGATTGGAATCCTCTGTTGTAAATCTCCGACATCAGAAGTGAGATCTCCTGTTGTCATTTCCGATATCAGAAGTGGGATAAAGTCCCTGTTACTGTCCACCTTTGAATAGTGTGAGGGTTATTACGTTGGTGAAATACTATGATGCGCCTCGCGTTTTGTTTTTGTGTTTAATTTCTTAAATCAAGTTTGTATTTACGACACTGACGAATCATTAAAGTATAGAGTAAAAGTTTAAAGTGAAATGCTTTAAGCCAAAAGTTAAATCTTTTTGTTCGGTTTATAATAAAAAATACCCGCGTACTTTCATTATTTCTTAAGTCGAAAGAAATGTTGAAGGTATTCTAAAGGAGTTATAGTTTGCATTCAGTGGAAGTTTAACTTGCTCAAGTTATGCTATAATTTGATACACGAGTTTACTGCGAGTATTACGTGGTCGATAAAATTGGGATTTGATGTTGAGGGTTTAGTAGAACGCGTGGTGCTGTGGCGCTCGCTCTTGAGTGGAAATACGCTGTCTGCTTATGACGCCGCGACCACGTTAATTGCCGCTGCTAGCGATCACCATTTGATACATGAGGAAAGTAAATTTATTCCTAACATTGTCTTAAAAAATATTTTGTAAGAATAAGTGTTTACATTTCTAATTGGTTGCGAAAAATGCCGGAAAACCAAAGTATAACTGATGAAAGTTAAGTGGAGCAAATTAGTTCTGACATTGAAGAGAGTATTTAAGTTTACATGAGGATCGGACCGTACCAGAGGTTGTCGTGTAGCTGCAGCTCAATATATGGTGCCCTGGAAAGGCGAATGGTGTCTCGAGAGTAGTGCTGCATTTTTTGAAAAAAAAAGTTCCTATTGAATCTTTTAATGTTTTCTTTTATGTGTTACAGTAGTACGTGTGATTACATGTGCGCGAGCGTAAGGCGAGGGTGTACCTTGCTAGTCGGAACGGACTGCCGGGTCCAGCTATAATATGGCCTGGTTTCGGCAGACGCGTTTGCTGCACGCGTGGTGGGCGCCATCCCGGAGCGCGCGTATGCTATACATGACTATGCCTCTGAAGTCGTGTACTCTGTAGGCGCGGAAGTCGTATGCTGTGTGCACGGTAATGTTTTCTGAACATGTATTAGGCTCTGTCCTGGCAGGCGCTGTCGTGGTTCACGTTTTTAATGTGGTTCACGTAGTTAACGTGGGTTCTCGCAAGTTCAAGTAAGAGTATGTGTCAGATACTTCGTATGAAGACCTATGTTTACTTGTGAAAGCGAAGTGCTTTCTTATAGTCTACGGTATGAAAGCGTATTTCTGTTTGAGGGACTCGTATGCGTGATGGATGAGAGGATAGGCAACTGTGTATGTTGTCCTGATAGTTAACAATTTGTTTTTCATGCAGATCATGATGACTACAACCCCGACGATGCCTGTGAACCCTCAGGTGCTCCTGCTGCTCACGTTGACGCTTCGAGTGCGTGATGCGTTTCGCTGGCGCTGGTGCGACGCGACGGCTTGCAGTGCGAGTGCGGCACGCCGTGTGCTGTTCTTTTAGCCACGTGAGCTTGCGACATGGTAACTAAGTATAGTGTGTGCTGGTTTGTTTTAATAGCCGCGTGCGATTGCCTTATGCCTGCCGCAGAGGCGAGCAGAGAGCGACGTGTTGAGCTGTACTATGTGAGCAATCCCAGCGGTGTGCTGATGAATACTGGTGAGTCTTACCCATTATATTATGATTCTGGGCCGAATGCCCTCTCATCAAAGATTGTGTTGTGGCAAAAGTGTAAAAATACCTCCATGATCATGTGAGGAAGATCCCCGATCACCAAGTTCCTTGAGATTTAGATGTCATAGTTGATGACAGTGGTAGTGAGACCAAATTTGATTAAGAATGCTTGTATACTCATACTCAAAACTTTAGACCGCACCTC